GCAGGTCGCCGCTCCCCTGGGGACATAACTGGGGGCGGGTGGGGCAGATCTCTCCTCCGGCCTGTCTCCCAGCCTTCTCCTCACTCTCAGCTTCTCAGAAAGAACGCTGTCCTGCCCCCCGCCCGCTCCAGGCCCCCACACGGGCCCCATCTCCAACCAGCGGCTCTGCCTAGGCGTCCAGCCCGGGCTGCGTGGCCAGGCGACACCTGCAGCGGCGATCTCACCTGTTGTGGCTCCGCTCGTGCCCCGCCCGGAATGCCCCGGGCACGGCCGTTCCGCTGCCTTTATAGAGCTCGCAGAAGGCAGGGACACGTTTTATTTATGGAGCAATAGAGACACCTAAGTTGAAAAGAGGGACACACAGGCATCTGTCTTTCCCCATCTGTCCTGCCGGGAAGTAAATCCTACCCCTCCCGCATTCTTTCTCTGTCCAGAGTCTTACTGGCCGTCACTCACTAATGGAGACTGGGAAGCCAGGGGCCGGGCAGCCTGGCGGGACTTGTTGTGGCAGTGCAGGGCCCCGCTTAGATGTCAGCGATCCCTGGCCTTGCCCGGGTTGTGCGAACCAGGAACTCCACAGTCTGACGCACCGCTCTCACGCTAGGTGGGGAGGACCGAAGGGGCAGTGGCCGGGTTTGTACTTAGAAAGACTTCTAGGAAGTCTTTCTTTAGAAGTACCCAGTGAGTGGTGGCTACAGAGAATTCATGATTTGTTCATAAATTTAAGATACATAGTTTCTCTCTCTCTCTCTCTCTCTCTCTCTCTCTCTCTCTCTCTCTCTCTCATATTTCACAATCAAATCAAGTGTCCAGGTGGCCCCTTTCTTACCTGGCTGACTCTTTGGTTCTATCTTCTCATTTATCTGCACCATCCAGGAGGGAATATGCTGGACTAGACAGGAATCTAGACCAAAAGAGAGTGAGAGGAAGTGGGATCTATCCTACCTCATCCGTGTTGTGTTTTCTTCTGGGAAGACTCTTGTTTAAACTGACGTTGCAGGTTGACAGAAGGGAGAGCGAGTTGGGTGAACAGGATGCTTCTCTCCTGATTACCAGTGTTCTGCAGTAAACACGGAGTGGCTCTGGACACCAGCCTTCGGGTACCCACCCAGCTGGGAAGCACAGACCAGACAGTTCCCTACGCGCCCAAAAACAGAACGCAAGTGCGAAGTCCTGACATTGTACTGGACATGATGCGCAGGGGAGCTTTTTCTGAGGAATGAATGAGCCACAGCTTTCAACAGATCTTCAAAAGCTTTCTTGATCCAACCAGGTTATAAACCTTGAAGAAGGGACCTAAAAAGAAAATCCAAATCATGAACTTTGGAACTCTTACTGGATAAGAACTAATGGTTCGTAAATGAGGACTATTTTGTCCTCCAGGAAATATTTGGCGATGTCCAGAGACATTTTTGGTTGTCACCCCTGGGGGGAATGTTACTGAGATCTAGTGGAGAGAGGCCAGGAGTGCTACTAACATCCTGTGATGGAGTTTGCAGTCCCCTTTAAGATTCTGTAAGTTTATTAAAATGTACGTTTAGCCCCAGCCGGTTGGCTCAGTGGATAGAGTGTCTGCCCCTGGACTGAAGAGTTCCGGGTTTCATTCCAGTCAAGGGCACATTCCTTAGTTGCAGGCTAGATCCCTGGCCTTGGTCAGAGTGCAAGAGTGGGAGGCAACCAATTGATGTGTCTCTCTCACATCCATGATTCTCTCTTTGTCTCTCCCTCTCCCTTCCACTCTCTCTAAAAATCAATGGAAAAGAGCGCTGCCCTGGAGGCAGGAGAGGCTGCCTCCACTGCTGTTGTGCTCACCAGCTGTGAGCCCAGTCTGGGCTTCTGGCTGAGCAGTGTTCCCCCTGTGGGAGCACACTGACCACCAGGGGGCAGCTCCTGCATTGAGCATCTGCCCCCTGGTGGTAAGTGTGCATCATAGTACCCTTTTATTATATAGGATACGGAGACATATATAGTACACAGCTATCCATAGTGTACATGCATTTCTATAAGTACATTATTATTGTGTGTGAAACTCAACGACACTGAAAGGGTTTGTTTAAAATATCTTTTTATTAACATCAGAGAGGGAGAGAGAAACATCAATGATGACAAAGAATCACTGATGGGTTGCCTCCTGCACGCTCCCTACTGGGGATCAAGTCCACAACATGGGCATGTGCCCTTGACCAGAATCAAACCCGGGACCCTTCAGTGCGCAGGGCAACACTCTATCCACTGAGCGAAACCAGCTAGGGTGAGGAGAGGATTTTTCTGAAAGTGGATTCTGACTGTACCCACTCTGGAAACCCTCACACACATCTTTACAGCCTAGTTAAGAACATTCCTTGATGCTTTCATTCAGATTAAATTTATTTCTTTTCTGGATTCTCTTGGTACCTTATCAGATTCTCTCTTTTTTGTTGTTGTTAATCCTCACCTGAGGACATTTTTTTGCCATTGCTTTTCAGAGAGAGTAGAAGAGAGGGGAGAGGGAAGAAGGGGGGAAAGGGAGAGAGGAGATAGAGAGAGATAGAGAGAGAGAGAGGAGGAGAGCTGATCCTCTCTTAAACTGTCTTTTACTATCCATCTTATTATCATAATTTTATTTACATACAAGTCTTATCTCCCTCACTAAACAAAATCTTCTTGAAGACACTTTGACTCCTTTCAACCATTAATGTTTTCTAAAAGATATATTTATAGCCCAAAGATTTTTAAAACAGTTTATTGATTTTTACAGAGAGAGGGAAGTAGAGTGAGTGAGAGAGAAACATCCGTGCAGAGTGAATCTGATCCAGCCAAACGTGGGGCACGCACCCTGACCTGGCATCCAGCCAGCAGCCTTTCAGTGCACAGGAGGAGGCCCAAGCCCCGTGCCTCGCCGGCCAGGACGAGCCCACAGATGCTCTTTAAAAAACTAAAAATACCATACATATTGGTATGCAACCTTTTTTTTAAAAAAAATTAAAGCGATGTCACAAATATCTGTCTAGGTGAGTTCATATGAATTTTTGTTAACTTTGTCAATAGCTGCCTGGGACCTAATACTGTTAACTCATTCATACTGAGGTCCACAGTAACTCACCTGGAGGATTCACAATGCTTCCTTGAGTTCTCAAGAGGCATCCTGTGCAAATATAAATATGACTCTTATCCCCTGCCGATAGCCATTTCTGCTCCCTGTTACTCTTATTTTGACACTTTTGGTCTGGTCCAGTCGGTTCCGTGGACCACTTTGGACCAGAACTGGGTGATGATTTGATGGTGGTGGTGGTGATCCCAAGGAATAAGGAGGGTGGTAGAGGTGTCCGAAGGCAGAGGAAAGAATAGGCTTTCAAATAACACCAGGAGTCAAGTGTGTCACTTCCCTTGGAGAACAGACAGAATTCTTCTTTGAACAGCATCGTTCTGTGTGGGAATTCTATTTCATAATTACCGCACTGTAATAATAAGTCCTGCATGGACTTAGATGAAGAGTCTGCTTTCTTCTGTTAAATGCATGGATAGAATGACATCTCCCTCACAGGTTTCTATAAAAGTATAGAACTGCTTTTCTCCTAGATCTGAATTTGGCTGTCTTTTAAAAACAGAGAAGAGTAGGAGGTGAAAACAGCTTGCTCTCCCCACCCAATTTACTTGTTATATCAAACACCTCAATTTACTCACTTAAGCTTTACAAATCAAGTTCTGCCTGTTTCCCATGGAGGTGGGCAGTTCTTTTTCTTTTCTTTTTTTTAATGATGATTTAATCATTTCCAGGACTTCTTTTCAAGGAGATATACATCACCTCAAAATAAATTGTTACTTTCCAGCACATACTCAGCAGTTAGTGCTGATTTTAAATGTGTTTTTTAATTTATCACTTAGGCACTTTGTGTGTAAGGCAAACTTCACTATTAGATCTACACATGCATTCAAAGATTTATTAAGAGTTTATTAGTGCTGGCCATGGTACAATAATGAACAAAGGAAGCATAGAACATGGTCTCCTATATGTGGGTGCAACAAATATTCATCAAATGGTCACAAAATCTATGCCCTATTTCACTGATTCTAAAATACACATTTTCCATATTTTATCAGGACTCATAATTGATGGTACGCTGTGGTTTAATTGGCAGCGTTTTTTCTTTCTTAGTGGTTCATAAAATAATTGTGTTTTATAATTAATGGCATACTAGAACTGATAAACTGTGGGTATCCACACTAATAAAAGAGAAACATGCAAATTGGTGTCACTCCACTATGCCCACCAGCCAATCAGATGAGTATGCAAAGATGGTGGTTAATTTGCATACACAGGCACTCCAGCAAAGACTGAAGACAATGTAGAAGGAAGCCAAGCACTGCAGAAGGGAGCGAAGCAGCAGAGAAGAAAGCTTCAGGACACAGGAAGCCCTATTCTTGCAGAAATCTTCCTGCAAGGTGCCTCTAGTATACGTATAAAATCATAAGTTTTGAGTGACTTTATGTGTCACAGGAATGATTTAATTGAGTCCTGTGTTAATTTAAATTTAGAGCAAGTAGTCAGTCTTGCTACTTTTTTCTGGTCCAAGGGGCAGATTTTTACTTTCTTTTTTTTCTTCCTTTTAAAAAATATAATTTAAAAAGTTATCTAATCAGAAGAATTTCAAGTAAGTAAAATTACAAGTCTTCTTTTGTTTCCAGAATACCTTGCCAGTATACCTTGGCAAATTATGACAATGTAATAGGTACTAGAAAAAAACTTGTTAAATTATTGATTACTTAATGATGAGATCTTAAGAAATCATTGAGTGGAAAGGAAACTAGTTTATTTGTTTATTTATTTTAGGAAACAAAGTCTAAAAAGATGAGAATCCATTCTTTAAAAAAACCCCACTAAACAAGAGAATTCTTTCTAAACCTATGTGGCAATCTATTCCAAGTTTAAAGCAAATTTCAGTGTCAATAAATATTTATTTTTATATACTATAATTCAATAAATGTCTCAGATAGTAGAGGGAATACCACAATCTTTAATATTAATTCAAATTTGATATTTGGTTTAGTAAATTTGTTACTCACTAGCATGAAATAATGGCACCGTTTTCTGAACAAAGAATAATTTGAGGGTCTGAAACTTAAATAATAAGTTTCTTATTATTTAAATAAATTTAATTTTTGAAGTTATCCTTGCATACTTTATCCCAGGAACTCTATGGTTTGTTCATTGAGGGAGAAGAGGGACACTTGAGGAATGTTCCAAGTAAATAGTGATGGGCTGTGTTATCCTGAGTTGCATGTTTAAGTATTTCATTCATTCATTCATTCATTCACTCATCCATACATTTATTTACTCAGTATTAATGTAAAAAAACCATTGAAACCTGTAAAGAATTTTTGTGAATTTATTTGAGCCAAACTGTCGACATATGCCGGGAAGTAGGACCTCAAGGAATTGAGATAATGCTCTGGAGAATGGCGGGGTTACATCTGTATTTATACATTGCAATCAAAGGAGGGACATAGGTGGGTTACATGAAATTCATTGGTGACAGATTAAGGAGGAGGGATAAAGCAAAGCAGGGAAACCCCTGGGATTGGATAAAAAGTAAAAAAGTAAAATGATGGACACACACTTAGGTGGGTGCAGGATCAATGAACATGATAATGAAAGGGTTTGTGGTATCTGTCCTGGCGCCCAGCACATTTGGTTGTGCCCCAGGGGCTCCAGAAAAAGGGAAGTTACAAGTTACCCAGACATTTCAAGGGTATGTTATCATAGATGCAAAAAGACAGATAGGCTCCGTTAAGGTATGGGTTGACCTTGTCAGGGAAGATACTGGCCTAGGACCCAACTGCCCACTATAACTGCTTTTAAAGTTTAATTTCAGACCATCCTTTGTGGTGACTTTAGGTCTCAGTTTGCAAGACTGCCATGCAGGCCTCCCCTGAGCTTGTCAGGTTAGAATGTGGCCCCTTTCGTCCACATCAGTGAGTATTTATTGAGCCTTTACTTGTGTCAGACACCACCTTAGCATTGGGGATACAGCAGTGAACAAGCTTGACATAGTTCTGCCCTCACAGGACTATAGTCTAGTGGGGGTCAGTAACTCTAAGCAAATAAATAAATCAGATAATGTTCTGTTATAATAAAAGCTATGAGAGAAATAAGCAGAATGATATGTAGAATTACTGAGGGGCAATGCACAGCACGGGGAGAGGGTGGTCTGCTTGCAGTGGGGTGGTTAGGGAAAGCCTGTCTCTTTCCAAGCAGGTGACATTTGCAGAGAGATTTGAAGTGCCGGTAGGAGGTGGCCTGCCTGGAAAACAAAACAGCAAAGGCAAAAACTCTGAGTCAGGACGGAGCTTGATGGGCTTGCAAAACAAAAAGGAAAGCAGGGTGGTGGAAATCCAGGGAAGTCAGATCTAGAGATAACGAACATGGAGTCCTCAGGAGCTATGCGGCCGTTAAAACCAGGCATTTGGCTTTTAGGGCAAGACCTTTGCTCAGCGTACCTGGTGTTTGCTTTCAGTCAAGATTCCAAATAACTTCATTTGGGGAAAGGAGAGGAGCCGCTTCATCTTTTTGTCAAAGTAATTACAGAAGGCCCTGAGCATGGGCAGGTCTATTAAGACAATGTGATGCTTGGACCTAGAAGGCCCAGAGAATGTTTCAGAATGTATGAGACCCAAAAAAAGGAACTAAAATTATACTTAGGCTTTTTCATCCTCAGAGTTGGCTTTCTAATTGTGTAGCTGAACAGAAAACAGCAGTCCACGAGAACCTAGATGTTGTTTTTAAGATCCATTTCTAATATATTTATGAATGATAATAAAGGTGATTATATACCTAAAAAATAGTAAAACTAAGCATTTAGGGAGTGGAAGCAGGAGAACTTAAAAAGGGAAGCAACTAGCCCTTGAGACATCTCAGGAGGATGACAAGGGGCTTCTTTTCTTCTGTAAAATCCTTGAACTCACGTGAAGAGAAAAAATAAAAAATACTTTAAACTCTTTGAAGAACAATTTATCCTCTGAATAAAATTGGACAGTATGCTTTTTAATGACACCTGTAAAAGAAAATTCTTAGTATTTAGAATTTATTCGGTAGTTTCTAACTATTGCATGGGGAATCAGTTACTTCATTTTTCTGTTACTCGGGGTGTCAGACACTCAGAAAGCTCTCTCAGTCAAGGTGACTCATGGGGACCTGAGCAGAAGTTGGCTCAGGCAAGAAAACTAACCACTTTTGGTAGAAGGCAGCAGCAGGTCACTCGAGGCAGCTTGTCTTCTCTTTTTGCTGGCTAACAATTCCTTGGCTTTAAAGAAAATGTTTTTAAAATTCATCCATACCTCTTCTATTGAACTATACATTAGTAAACACACAGTTACCCCTAGAATCTACTGTCTAATTCTTCATTTAAAAATGAACCTTAAATCTCAATAGAGAAAAAAAAAAGCTATCATGCACAATGGGACAGATGGGTGAGATGAGCAGAGAAGAAAGAGTAAAAGAAGAAGCTGAGGGGAACTCAGGAGAAAGAACTGAAGGATCGGGAATGGGGAGAGAGACCCAGATGGAGGCTCATAGCATATTCACTGGGATGTACCATGTTGCCCAGTGGGGTCTGACTTGAAAACTAAACAACCTTTGAGCACAAGTATTACCTTGAGATTAATATTGTTATTCCCATTCTACAGATGAGGACATGCACACAGAAAGGTTAAGTAGTTTGCCCAAGGTCACACAGTAGGGCTGAGCTGGAATATGAACCCAAGCAGTTTGATTCCAAAGCCCATTCTCTTAACTTCTGCAAAACTATCTGGGGTTTTAGCAACCTCAGTTCACCTCACCACTATTTCAGAACTTCTAGTCAATCTTATTACTCATGGGTAATCTTACTGCTTCTTTTTTTTTTAATATATTTTATTGATTTTTTACAGAGAGGAAGGGACAGAGATAGAGAGCTAGAAACATCGATGAGAGAGACATCGATCAGCTGCCTCCTGCACATCTCCCACTGGGGATGTGCCCGCAACCCAGGTACATGCCCTTGACCGGAATCGAACCTGGGACCCTTCAGTCCACAAGCCGACGCTCTATCCACTGAGCCAAACCGGTTTCGGCAATCTTACTGCTTCTTACCCAGGCCTCAGGGTTCCTCTGCTAAGTTCAGCTTTTAATTCTCTTTCTATGTAACACATGAAAACATGATATCCATAGAAAATGGGATGCTAACTAAGTGAATTGACATATATGGACATGGGAATTAACCCCAAGTCTATTATAGATGAAAAAATGGTAAGGTGCAAAACAATACGTATAATAGTATAATATGCTCATATTTGTATATAGAAGGGAATATGAATTTGTGAATTATACTAATCAGAGTCCTAGCAAACAATAGATGACACACCGAGATAAAGTTAATGAAGGGACTCTTTATAAAAGTGTGGAAAGGGCCAAAGAAAACCAACAAGGCATGGTGGAGCACCTCAGGGCGAGCTGCAGGGAGCTTTCAGCTGTCCAGTCACCTCACATCAGAGAAGGCTGTCAGCAATCCTAGCAGGAGGGGCAGAGGGAGGGAGCTGTTACCAGAACCCAGCGTGCTGATGAAGAGGGCTGCCCAACAGGAACTGTGCCCTTCAGTAGAAGAATGGAACCGCTGGTAATTCCAGGAAGGAGCTGGGAAAATAAATACCCCTGCTTTCTTCCTCCAACCTCTGATACGCTGGTAGGTACTTTCCCATTCTCCATTGCCCAAACTCCACAGGAAGAAACCTGCGAGCAAAGGCGCTTGATTGCCCTTAAAGCCAGTCTTCAGGCACAGAGCAGAGAGGAAAGGGAGGGGTGAGTGGAGACTATCTCCACAGATAAAGTATTTCTGGAAAGATTCACAAGACACTAGGTTCTGCTGGAAACAAGAGACTTAAAAAAATTTATCTTTAGAACAGCTTCATAGAAAAATTGAGAAGATAGTACAAACCATTCACATATATCTCATACCCAGGTTCCTCTACTAAGGAGCACCTTAAACTTGTATGGTATATTTGCCACAATTTAATAAACAACAGCGATGCATGATTATTCACTAAAGTCAACAGTTTGTTCCGATTTCCTTAGTTTTTACCTGATGTCCCTTCTCAATACATTTATTGGCAGAGGTTGTTCCTCACATGCCCTCATTATCCCTTTTAAGGGAGAAGTCACAAATTGTCAATATCAGGAATGAAAAAGAGGACTACGGATACTAAAAAGTTGTACAATAAATGTATCCTGCGTTCCAGGATGCCGCATCACATTTACTTGGCATATTTTCTTAGGTTCCTCTCAGCTGTAACAATTTCTCAGACTTCCTTTGTTTTGATGATCATGACAGTTTTGAGAAGTACCGGCCAAATATTTTTTAGGATGTTTCTTTATGAGAATGTGTCTGGTTTTACTCATAGTTAAACTAGCGTTCTGGGTTTCTGGGAGGGACAGCACAGAGGCATTTCCATCACCTCATACGAGGGACGCTGACCTGGATCATCTGGCTGAGGTCGTGTTTGTGAGGTTTCTCCTCTAGAAAGCCACTCTCCCCGACTCCCACCCCCTTTTCTATGCTCTATGTAGCCCACACTTGAAAAATGGGGCGTTAAACTCCACCTCCTTGAGGGCAGAGTATCTACATAAGTTACTTGAAATTCTACAAGAGAGATTTGTCTCCCCTGCTCCCCACTTATTTGTTTGTTCAATCATTTATGTCATATGAAATTATGAGTATTTATTTTATATTTTGCATCATGACCCAATACTATTTAATTTTGTTGATCAAATCGGTCTAGCTTTGGCCATCAGGGAGCTTCTTTGTTTGGCTCCTGAGCCCTTGTGACCAGCCCTCATCAATGTATGGCGGTTTTGCTGTTTGTTCTGGGTGCACTTCCTTCCTTTCTGGCACTACAAGATGCTCCAGGCTTATTTTATATATTGTCTGTGCCGGTCCTTGAATCAACCATTTCTCCAAGGAACCCTGTTTCTTTTATTGGAGAATTTTGCTAGGAATCAAGATGCGGGTAGTAGGTATGCTCTTTGCTATTGGAATGCCATGGCTTCCAGGCTGTATGAGCTGATAGGACAAAGAAATATGTGTGTGTGTGTTATGAAATAATTTTATATAATCGCTTAGATAATATAAAATGAAATAAGTACATAAACATAATATTCCGATATGGAACCATCATATCTTTTTAAAAAAATTCTCACCTGAGGACATGCTTAGAGAGAGGAAGGGAGAGACAGAGAAACATTGATGTGAGAGAGAAACATCCATGGGCTGCCTTCCATACAGCGCCCCAACCGGGGACCAAACCCGAAACTCAGGCCTGTGCCCTGACCCAGAATCAAACTGGTAGCCCTTCAGTGCACAGGAGGATGCTCAACCAACCGATCCACTCTAGCTGGGCTCCATCTTATAGCTATTAAGTTAAACGTACGTTCATGTTAATGAGGAGACCTACTTTATTGTACAGTATTTTGTACTGTTCGAGTTTATTATTTTACTAGGTCCATATGTTAGTTTTTCTATTATTTAAAAATGTCCTAGTGATAAAAATAAAATGTGTACATGGATATCTTGATAGTTGTGGATAGCGAGAAGCAAAAAAAAAAAAAAGTTCTATTGGAAAAATTTAGGAGAACTAGGTGATTAAAATAACTCACACGAGTTATTCTTTTATAAAATAAAGAATGAC